AAACAAAAAACAAAAAAAATCAGGGCCAATCTAGCCCGTTGCTAGTGACAGGACTCGGCACCTCTCCGGGCGAAGCAGGTGGAGGGGGGCGAGAAACGAGGCTCCGCAATTGCAAGTGACACGTTGCGGAGGATGATGGTGCAGGTGTGATTCAAGCCCTGGCACAGGCTGCAGAGTTGTTGCATCGAGCTCATCGAGGCCGGGAGCCAAGCGAACCCCTTGCTCCCTTGCTGTGCTCTGAGCAGCAGCCCTCCTCCCTCCACCTGTCTCCAAGTGCAGTTCACATGGTCTCGGCTGGGACCACCTGGCCCCAGCTCCGACCAGCTCAGGCACAGGGTATTGCCCCCCAGTTCCTACCAGCTCATCTGGGTGAGGGGCAGCTTTCACCAGTGACCCTGCCTAAGGGAATGACCCCTTTTGGTTTGGCTGATAGAGATGCCATGCACTGACCATGAGGGAGGGTCATTAAAGTCCGAGCTGTGCATGGCATGGAGCAAGCCCTGGTGAGGGACCACGGACCCAGCCCCAATTTAACCCTGGAGATAAATGACACTATATCTTAGCCACTGTGAACAAGGATCCATTCCCTTAAGAGCAGCAGAGTCTGGGATACAACTGGGGACACGTTCAGGGATGCAGTGGGTGAGATCCTCAGATGGCACCACATGGGGTAGCTCCTTTGAAGCCATTGGGGCTCCATCAGTTTACGCCAGTGAAGTGTCTGGCCCAGCACACTGTGTGCAGATGTTTCTTTCCTGGCCAAGCTCCTTTCCTGGCCTTTACAAGCAAGGAGAGGCTTCAGGGACTTGACTTGATGTTCACTGCAGCTAGCTCGTGGTGGTCCTCCCCAGTGCTCCTCCAAGTGCTGGCTAGAAGCAGCACGAGGCAGCGATGCAAGAGGAAGCTTGTTTTCCAAGACCTGGTCTTGCTGCTTTTATCAGCTGCGAATAAGATATACCCCGGGGAGTATATCCACCAGTGGCCAAGACTGAATGACTCTGGAGTGTCCTCTGAGGACGGTGCAGGCAAATAGGTGTAGGACTATCAGCTCCCTATAGCTGCCTGATACCCCCAGGAACAGAGATTGGATGAAACCTTGAAGCAGGAGGTTTGCTCACCTTCCAACACTGTTTTCCTCAGCTGAACTACTCTGCCCGTGTTTGTTATCTCTGTAATAATCGCCAAGTCTCGATGCGTTCTTGGTTCCCACAACCTCCTGTGGCAGCGAGTCCCACAGACTCATTACAAAACTAGTGAACAAATATTTCCTCTTTGACTTGGGGCAAAGTCCACTCAAAATTCAAACCTGCTGCGGGATCTTTTCAGGGGAAAGCCCTGGTTCCAGGTGCATGCATTGATTTGCTCTAACAAAAGGAAACAACTGCATTTTTACCATGAGGTGAATTAATTACTGCAGAGGGAGTTTAATATTTAAGGGGTCATTAATTCACAGCACATTTTGCCTCTGAAAACAGTGATGTTCACATGGACCAGTCTCAGATCAGCGCTTGTCTCAACGGGCACAGAAAAGATGCACTTTTAAGTGGCGAAGAAGTGGTTCTCCTGTGACTTCTCGGTGCACAGCAATACAGCGGCAATCCAAGGGATGCTTGCTCGGGACTGCTGCGGCCTTGGTTGGTCTCTGAGAGAGTCCCCTGACACTAGCCCAGGCTTGGCTTCTAGAGCAAGGGGGGAGCCCAGGGTCCTCCCCGGCATGAGCCCTCCACCCCTCCACCTCAGCTGTTCCCTTTCCAGTCTTGGCATCTCCCCAGAGCTGGTCTCAGTCCCCAGATACTTCTGGCCAGGAGCGGCCAGGTCACTTCCCCACCCTCCACACTTTCCACTGCCATGTGTCTCTCCTCTGGACACCTCCTGGGTGTGGGCATCTCACCTTGGCTGACACATCCACAGAGCCACTCAAGACTCTGTGGATGCTAAAGGTCCGTCCTGTCTCCTCCTGCTCTGGCACTAACCCGTCCTTCTCTGTGCACAGGTGAATCGAGTAAACCGAGTCACACAGTATTATAACAAGGTGAATGCCATTGCAATAAAACCCATAATTCGTCACAGCAGTGCTTGTGCTTGTTGCAGGGTGGGGGTTGCGGAGGCGAGGAATGCAGTAGGCTGGATATTGGTGTTTTTTGACATCCCCCTCCTCCCCCAGCCCCTTCATTTATTTGCTCTGTTTGGCTGTGTAAGGCTGTGTCACTGCAGGCAGATGCACAGATCCCTCTTGGCCCTCCTGGGGTCACTCCTGGTGTTTGAGGGCATGAATCTTGGTGTGGTGCTGCATGGCGCATGGATTTCTAACTGCGTGCGAGGGGATGCGGAGCTGGCTGGCCTCCCTCCAGCACATCCAAATCATTCCTACTGCTAGTGCCCTGAGCTAGTAAAACATCCTCATGTCTCCACTGACTTCAGGGCTCGAGCGCTCGGCTCCCTCCCAGACTGAGCCCACAGGCCGGTGGTTTCTCAGGGCAGGTTGTGTTTTCATGTCAGATGCGAGACTTTGCGGAAAGACACCTAACTTTTAGTCCACATGCCTCAATTTCCCCATTTGTACAGTGGAGCTACTGGTAGCTTAACCTTCCTCCCATCTCCCCCTCCTCTCTCTCAAGCCAAAAATGCTTGCTTTTTTTTTTTGCAGCAGCAGCAGCAGGCCTGAAAAGGAGCTATGCCTTTGCCCTTCACCAGGGCTCAGCCCTGCAGTGATGCAGAAGCTGCAGGACAGTTGAACCATGAAACAAATCGGGTGCCATGAAATGGATGAACAATTAGCTAAAATTTTAGCAGACCCAGGCAGATCTCAGAGACTCACAAAGCTGGGGATGGAAAGCAGGTGTCAAGCCCGTTTCCCTTCATTGCTGCGTGCCCATGTGTGCATCTGCACCTCTGCAGTCCGGCTGCCCTGAAAACTGAGTGTTCACATCTCTGCTTAACCCTGAAAGCCCTGGTGCTGTCTAGACAGATTGATACCTGGGAGGACAGTGTTTGTCTTGGATATATCAGAGCCAGAGAGGAAGCCGCGGTGCCCAGGCACATATTCCAGATATCCCGCTGGTTGTCCCCAGCCGGGAGTGCTCTAGGCAGATGGTGCTTGCAGGAAGCATGTTCCTGCTGCGTGCCTCTCGTGTGCAACTTGTGCAGACCTGAGAGAGCGAGGACAATGTTTACAGAATCCATTTTGGATAAAGAACTTACCTCCGGCGAGGAGGCCGAGGAGGAGGAGGAAGAGTGATATGGACCCGGTTGCCATCTCATCCACTGCCGCGCCTGGCTCTCTCTGGTGTTTCCACCCCCTTTAGGGCAAGCGACTAGGGCGTTATTCTCTCGAACCCACCCGTGCCTCTGAGGCAAAGGTGGCTGTTACTTGAATGTTTCTGGACTCATCAGTAGCTCTGAACATCCCGGCTCCTCCCAATCTGGAATTGGATTATGTGCAGCATTTTAATTTCATTGACATGCAAGCACTAAGTGACTAATGGAAGCCAAGGCTGCTCCCCCAGGAGAGGAAATACCATGCTAATCTGATTTACTCCAGTGCTCTTACCTGAGGCTGTGCCTGTCTCTGCCTTACAGGATGCTAATTCCATTAATAATTGAGGCCCAAATAGCTGCTTTAAATCAGACATACGCAGCAACGTCTTCAACATTTGACAGTAGTTACTGCTCTCCTGAATTACTTTGGATAATGGAAACCTGCTATTGTTTAATGAAGAACAATCGCTAACAGTGCAGGGGGGAAAAAAACCCTGTCTGCTTTTTGTCTTTCCTGCCTCCCTTTAATTAAAAGACGTATTACACTGTGATTAAAGTGAGCGCTTGGGTAAGGTTTCGTTTGGCACATTTCAGGAGGGAACAAGACCCTTCCTGACAGCAGGATTATTCCAAGAGCAGCGCTGACCCCTTCTGCGCTGGTGTGTGCAAACACAGGGTATGGAGCAGTGCGACTCTCTCTCGAGGTCAATATTAGAAGTAGGTCGGAGACCCACAACTATGCAGAGCCGAAATCCCCATAATTTTGCAGTGTGGACGGCTGGTTTTAATGCTTCGGGGTGCTTAGTATCTCTGGTGATGGGATGTCCCCTCCAATGGAGGTGGGCAAGCTTATCTTGAATAGTGGGGGGACACATTTCCAGTCTGTCTAAGCCACCAGCACAGTGATAGGATGCGCCCTGTTTCTGTACAGTGCCGCTGCCTTTTTTTGGTATACGAGCAATGTGTTCACCTAGCAGCAGTGAGGAACCCATGTGAGCCACCTTGCTGGGCAATCCCAGGGGAGAGGAGAGCAGGACAGCTCCTGCAAGACGGAAAGGAGAATGCCTTCCTTTGGCTGGGGGGAAGCTGAGATCAGCAAGGCCTGCTGAGCTATTGCTGCGGTGCTCGCAAAGCAGGGCTGAAGCATCAGCCTCATCGCTCTGAAGTCGAGCATGCCCAATCTGCCCAGGGACTCCCTCCTTTTTTCTCCACTCTTCTTTTCCAGGGTCATCAAAAATGCATGGGGTCCTATCACCATCATCGGGCTGACTTCTGGTGCTTCCAGTCCAACACCCAGGCTCCGTTCGAGGCTCAGACCATTTCCAAGCCAAGGTGGGAGCGATGGTGTCTGTGGGACCGCATGCACTTCTGAGACTGTGTGCACGCCATGGGGAAGGGAGGACACGTGTGTGCTAGTTGTGTAGAAACAAAGACTTAGATCCTGAGCTCGTTACTTAGACAAAACCCCTCCTGAAACCCACCTGACTGAGATCCATGGTGCAGTGCTGGCGGCTGAAAGCACAGGACCACTTCGCATCCAGGATTGCCCTGGTTCTGTGCTGCGGTGACCCGCGGGATGGTGCTCCTTCTGCCACCAGGCTGGGAGCAGCATGGAGATGTGCTGAAAAGCTCCCGTCTGCCGCTGTATACTTTCTTGACTGGCTGCCTGTCACCAGATGGCCGTTGTTAATGATTTACAATCCATCACAGCCTACATTAACTAAAGTACCAGCAGCCTCGTGTCCCCAGCATTATTATTCCTAAGAGACAGACAATTGGTGGAGCCTGTCAAGCTTTTGGCTACCTTGGTAAGGAGGAAGTTTAGGAAGTGCAAAATCCCCTTCTGTCCATCCTCTGGCTCTGCATGTGGTCTGGCCTTTCAGTTCTTCAGCTGTTTGTCAAGTCGCCTTCCTCTGCGCAGGCAAAGTCCCCCACGTCCATCCCTGCCTTGCCTGCACATTGATTTGGGGCACACATGCTTTCTGTGCGTTCGTTCCTCCTGGGTACAAAACAGCCCTCTATCCCACCCCCTTTGCTGTGTTGAGGTGTAACCTCTTTGCAGCAGAGCTCTCCCGTCCTCAATTTCCTCTCTCTTTTTAGCCAGCGTGCTGCTTCCTCCGTTCTCCTAGCCCAGAAGGAGGTGAAAAGAAAAGCCTCATTCATGGTGGAAGATCTCAGGACTTGGACGCGATGTGCTCTGGAAAACAGCTCAGTAAGTGTCTTCAGAGATGCTATCATGGACTTGTGGACATAGGGGTGCAAGGTAGGGAGGGAGAAAACTAGATAAGCTCTCTGGAAAGGTCTTTCCTCTTACAGGGGTCCAGAATAGAGGTCCAGGGGAAGGGGTGGCTGTGATTGATAATGTGCTTATAGGAAGGGAAAACGTGCAGAATTTGGTAATTGTTGCAGAGCAGAATAGGGCTTCTTCTGATCTGCTTGCCATTGCATGATCTTCCTGCTCCATGGGTGGCTGGACGGAGCAGGCTGTGCATCCCAGGCCTATTGGTGGCACCTGAGATGCACCTTGTCCGAACAACTCTTACAAACCCCAGCTGCTTCAGGCCTGTTCTGTTACCTGGTTTTTCTCCTCTGACCCGCACACCAGCTCCCTGACTCAGACCCGTTTGGCCCCTCACACCCCAGACTGGCCCTTGAGAACTCCCTGGCCTCTTTGCTGGGGGGAGCTGGGCATAGCCGCCTCCGAAGGAGGTCAGCGTTGGCTCTCATCCAGCGGGGAGCAGAGCTGTAAGGCTCGCTGAGGGCTGGGAGCTGCCTGCAGGTTCAGGGAAAGGCACGAGAGAAGTGTGTGCGGTGAGGTGACCCGCTGGGGCACTCGAACGGTGTGTCCACCCTGTGCTGCCAGAGGCATCTCGGCTAGCTTCAGACTAGCCAGTCTGGGTAGTAGCAGCAGTCTTCCTATGGCAGCTTATTCATGTAGACAGGCATTCATCCGACAATGGGTGACTTGCCTCAGACACAGCATCCCAGTACTGTGACCGTCTAAGAGTGAGGTCGCTGCACGGCAGCATGCAACACCTCCTCTCTCAGGTCCTGAGTGCTGCTTCCTCCATGCTCCTGGCCCAGAGATGGGCAGGACGATACTCTGGTCCTCAGCACACCCCCTTGCCTGCCAGCCTGCTGCATCCTTGCCAAGGATCTCAGGCTGAGCTCATCTGCGGATGTTTCCTTTCCTGCTCCGTGTCCCGGGATCCGTTGCCCTCTGCATTCAATTCACCAGGAAGACAGTGATGCAGCCGTGGCCCCTCCTGTACAACCGGCTGCCTTTTCAGGCCGGGGAAGAGTTTATTATGCAAACATAATAAACATAATAAGGGACGTGTTTATTATGCAAACAGCAACTGAGTTATGTGTCCTTTAAGACTACTAAATAGTTTTTAATTACTGCTATATCAGTAAATCCCATAAATATGCAAATGCAATTAGTTCACAAAATAGGCCCTAAATATCTTTATTCCTCTCCAACAAAGTTCTTTGAAGTTAATCGCCAGCTCCCTTTGTTCGCTCCCTTGGCAGTTGTGCTGAAATTGATGGGAATTATGACAGATGCACAAATTCAGGGGGACCAGATTTTTCTGAGAACCGCATCTGGATGGGCAGGGATGGAAGACAGGGGGAGGGGAGCAGGAGGCCAAGGGGCTGTTCCCTTCCAGATCATCGTGGTGCAGTGAAGAGCCAGCTCTGTGCCGTGTGGTGTGCTGCTCGAGGCGCAGCTCCCAAGACGGCCCCTGGGCCCACACAGGTGTGGGTGGAGCTGGTCAGGGGACAGCAGGTTCAATGATGACATTTGTGATCACAGATTTGCTGCTATTGTTCTTGTCCCTGGAGTTTGGGCTCAGCAGGATATGCCATGTCTCCAGAGCAGCCATCCATTCCTCTGGCCCGGCTTCTGGCTGCGTGGTGTCTGTGGGACTTGCAGTCCCTCTAAAAAAAAAAAAACAGCTTATAGAAGCCCATTTGTGTCAGGCAAACGCATGACATCTGCTTTGGGCTCCTCAGTCATAGCTGGGGATCTGGCACAGTATTGGCAGATGTTCGTTTAGGATGTTCGGGCCAAATTTCTAGGTATTTATGTAGGTGCCCGAAGGTGAAGATCAGTGCCTAGTAGGATCTTCAGAAGCACCTGAGTGCTTTGCTCCAGCGATTTAGGCTCCTAGGAGCTTTTGCAAGTGCCTAAGTACCTTCAAAGAACCTGGTCCTCTGTGCTCTGGAGAGAAGATCAGTTGTTCTTCAAGAAGTGCTTCCAGCGTCTATCGGGATTTCTTGCCATTATTTCAGCTGTGCTGCCATAACTACCTGTGGTTTATAAACGGTTATCCCTGACCAGCATCAAGTGACATGAGGAAGAAGAGCTAATGCAGTTGTGCTACAAAGCCTTTCTCACCAAGCTCCCCGACTTTACTGAAAGCTTAGTGGCTTTCCATGAGGAGAGGCCTGCACTTAATTTAAGCGAGATGCAGCATGCTGCAGACTACCCGGGTTTTTAATACAGAGGTGACGCCTACGGAGATCATCTCCCCTAGCACACGATGCTCTGTCTGTGTCTGAGCAGCTTCATTTGTGAGCTTTGCACTCAGACTGAGAATTGAACGTTGAAACGGGTGATCTGTAAAAGATGCACTATTAAAAATGAAGGTGCATGGTGCAGCGCTAGTCTGGAGAGGCTGCACCGTTGTGGCTGAACTGAAGCAAGGGTTGTATTCACTATATTTTCTTAGCTATTGGAGCTCCCTGGTGCACAAAAGCTAAGTAGGTGGAAGAAGCTACGCTGAAGTTTTCGCTAACTTTTGGGACCGCGTGCAGTTGGTATAATCAGAGTGCCACCTTGTGGCTTTGGTGACAAACTTGTCTCTATTTGACTCTTTTTTGTGATCGACCCTGAAAGCTGTGATGGGTCGGGAATTAGTTTTAGAAATTAATCGGGAGTCTGTGATGCAGGAGGCATCTAAATGAAGTGAAAAGCCTGCATTACAGCAAGTCGACAGAGGTCCATAGGACTGCAGCTGAGGAGGCTTTTGGAAGGTATTTTCTCCAGGGTGCCAGTGTTTGCGTTGAGGGTAGATAAGTGAATCTGTCACCTCCATGGGGATGAGAACCTAACTGAGACCATGCCAGACCACCGGGTCACAACCAAAACCACAGGAGTCCTGAGGAAGCCCCAGTCTGGAGAGGCTGCCCCATGAGAGTGCTCCCGGGGGAGATGGTGAGTCGGCCACCGACATGCTCCACGGGCACAAAGCTGGCGTCGCAGTTCCTATGCCATAAACCTGTGGATGGAGGAGGGGGTTGCTATAGCTCGTGGCTCCATGGGGTGGGGAGATTAGACTAGAGAGAAGGCATCACACAGCTCACGTGCCCGGTAACTTCTTGTTCTAAACCGAAACCAAAACTCAGAGTAAAACAGCGTGCCTCAGGAAGTGCGCAGGCCAACTA